ATATTACCCTTCTAAATAAAAATTATGTTACCACAGTAGTTTATGTCAATTGTTATGAACTGTAGTGATATGCTGTTAGAAATGTTTAATGCTAACATGGCAAAGTCATTTTATTATTGATCACTGAGTATTACAATGGCAAATTAAAAAAGACATTATGGACCATTATGGAGGTTGACATATTTTCCGGTGAGCTGAACATTTATCACGCCTCTCAGAATATAGGACACCTTCTGTTTGAAAGCTGAACACACCTGATAACACAGTATGGGTTCAGTCGCTCCTCATCAGTGCAAATGGCTCACGCTGCTGAGGTTGTGTGGCTGGAAAGTCTTTGCTACAGTCCAACCCTCCTCGTTTCCATTAATAACCACGTTTCACCACATGAAGGCCAGTACTTCCTTCCATTTCCACTCTAACAATTTCAGATAGACCACATTTTTGCTCTTTTCTTTCTCTGAAGTAATGATAGCTTAATTTTGAGGAGCTGTTGTATTACCAAAAACAGCACACACACAAACACACACACACACAGACACACACACACGCACACACACACACGCACACACACACAGACACACACACATCTGTCTTTATCTGTCTGTCCTGTATCTGCACATTTTTTTGTAGCATTAATTTCACACAGCGATAGTATTCAGAGCCAAACACTGACTTTGCTAAACAAAACATCACAATGCTTGCAAGTACTAAGCTAGAAATTACATTTGAAATGAACCAATTTTGCTATTCATTCTGCACTGCGGCTCTAATGAGAATCATCATGCTTTCTGCCTGGGGGTTCCTGACACAGTTACTTTGAGATTCCCTCATTCCCGGGATATCTGGGTCACATCCTTCTTTCTGCAGTACACTGATGGTAAATTCAGACCTTTCTTCAGAGCAAAACTCACATCCTTGTCAAACGTGTCTCACATAGGTTAATGAATTTGAGAATATACCGTGCCGATTCCACCATTTTGGGGATGGAACATGTCCCGGCCACTACAGTTGTCATGATCAGTTAAAGCGTGTTTAGACATAACAGAGCCCCCCATAGCAGGCCACCCTCCCCCAGTGCCAGACCTGGCTGCAGGTCACTCAGATCTTCACACGTCACACCACAGGAAGCAGGCGGCCAATGGGATCGCTGAGTACACTCTGAACTGATCAACGCTTACACCCAAACACCAATGGCAAGTAAGATGTGAGCAATGCTCACTGCTCTGTTTAAATAAGCCAACTAGCACAGGCTCAGAGCAAGATCTCACAGAGCCGGCTTCATCACCTGACTGCTGCGTGACACGGTGTGACAACAATGCTGACTTTTTAAAAAAAACTTTCCCTCAGTTGGTCATTACCAGTCATCACCATCATCTCACATATACTTATGAACAGGACACCAAACCAGCCTTATATTGTTGAATGAACAATCAGAATGGACAATCAAAAAAACCTTATGTTAGTATGTCAACTGTCATCTCACATTAGAAGAAATTAGGGCCTATGATGTATTCCTCCATCTTTTAATCACTGATCTTGGTTTGGATCATGGCCTTAAAACTGAATGTAAAATTATGCTGATGAAATAAGCAGTTTGTCTCTAATCCGTTTCTGCATGCGCTTACTTTGTTTTTCATCCAAAAGCCATTCGCCGGTCCTGATGCCAGTCCCAGGAGATTGCAGTGACCCTTGCAGTGTCATACCACTCAGACGAAGGATTGTGGGATTTCCCTGTGATTATGTGAGGGTGGGAATGCGTGTTGTTTAGACTGCAGGTGACTCATGTCCTCTGAGTCTAGCTTGAGCTGGACAAGTGTCAGGCCGTGAAAGAGAGGCGTAAGCTGGAGGAGACAGGGATTCTAACTGCTGAATTGTTGTCTTCAATTAAATCTTTAATCTATAATTAACATACTAGCTTGTATGGATATGGCTACAATTACCCATCCGTGGTTAAAAGGGCAATGCTAAATATTAGACCTGTTTGATTAGAAGTTTATCATCCCTTGTTGATTACTCATAAAATAGGTGTCTTACTATCTTATAACCACAAAAACGTCAGACATTAGCACACCTGTTTGAGGGGTATGGGGTCCAGGTGGGTCCGACTCAGTCCACCTCCCCACCTCACCATGACTGGGGTAACTGCCAGTGGGCGTGAACTTTGTCTGTCGCCGTCTGCTTTCTGCACTAACGCCCAGATCCTTGGAATCTATCATTTTCACGGGATAATAAAACGTTTAACATACATGAGAAAGCCGTGAGGATTCATTAGCGGGAAAGGTCCAAATCGGAAAGGAGATTTACATTTAGAGTGGAGCAGATTCAGAGCAGATTTCGACATTCTGCTTTGGTATTTCGTTTTTTTATTCCTTTCAGAAACAAACTGTCACAGAAGGCTGACATCATTTTTTTTCTTTCTTTCTGAGTAAACTTTAACTGCGGGTAACAATACAGTGATATTATACCCTAAGAGCATATGAGCCCGGATCAACGTGATTATTTTAGAAATATGCACTCAGATCAGTTTTTAAAGAGCAAATGTAACCAGAGACCAAGCAGCCACGGGCACCTGGCAAGGCACTGCCCAAGTGTCTGCCCCTGGAACAACCCCAGGCTTCACCCCCTACACACACACACACACACACACACACATTTGAACTCATATCTTTGTCGGGACCGTCCATTCATTTCTATGGGCAAAACCCTAAACCCAAAAATGACAACCTTAACCCCTACCCAGCCCTAACCTTAACCATAAGCAACCAAAGAAAATACAAGTATTTTGGAAATTTTAGTTTTTTGATTGCAGTCACAGATTTTTACAAAATTTCCCCTTGTGGGGCCCAAAAAATGGTACCCAGGTTTTTGTTATATTGTGGAGACATTTGGTCCCCACAATGTAATGTTTAGCTGGACCACACACACACACACACACACACAATTACTGTACTATGGGTCATTACTGAGGTACATCAGCATCCCCATGTAACCTGGACCTCAGTTCCTTGAAGCTCCATTATTTTTTAAATTTAATGAAGACACTGAGACTTCATTCTTACTCCCTGTTCCTACCACAAAATCAGTCCAAGCCCTATTTGCTATATCTAATAATAAGCTACCAATGAAATATGAATCTTTTCATTGTTTAACCTGCCTACTGTTTGCCCTGCAGTTTTATGCTGTCTGGCATTTCTTACCCTTTGACGGCTAATTACGGTACAGAACAGAACCAGCGATAGGAATCTAGGTTCTCAGGGAAAGAAAAAGCTTTTGCTGATGGCTGATTAGAAATGGTTGTAATTTGCCATAAAGTACTCAAACTGAAAACAAAGCACAATTATGTACCCTAATGTATATGTAAACTGTAATGAGATACAGAATTGTGGAAATGGCCAGCACAGACCAACAATGAATGATGACTGAAGCACAAAGCAGAATTTAGGAGTGATTCTGAGAGCCATCGTATCCACGCTTTCGACCCAAATGAGGATGAAAACCGCGTGCTCAAAAATGTAACATTTGCCCTAGTGCTGAGAACCTGTGGATCGTCAAACCCTGGAGTGTTGTTGAGATACCTCTCCCCAGGGCTGAGGTATTGTGATTCCTCGTGACCTTTGATGAATCATGCATCCCCACCCTTGATTTCAATCCTATGACGAGAGACTGGATTCGCCCACTGACAGAACCAATCAAACTTTAGTCTTAGCTCTAATGGGGGGGGGGGGTGATGCAACCACCATAATGTGCTTGTATGAAATCAGAGAATTATACACAGCATACACCCCACACACTAAGGAGCGGTATGTCAGCTCAGAGCCCCCCCCCCCCCACCCCAAACACAGAGCCCTTTTATCAGAAACCAGCAGATGGGACACTTTATCGCTGACATCATCTCTGAGAATGACTGTTTTAATACATCACACACCTCATAAGTCCTGTATGAATTCCAGCTCGGGGGGGGGGGGGGTTTAGTAGGTATAAAGCCATGCCAAAAGCCACGCCACATCTGTCAACAGAACCAGGCAGCCCTAAGCTTAAAACGAACGCCTTTTAGCTCCATGAGTCTTTGTTTGACTGGTTTTAATACTGTAGTGATGTCTGGATTTAAAAAGGTAAAACTACTATCCAGCGGCAATTCTGAGATTTGACCTTTAGGGGGCGCAACCCCTGGCAAATTCTGAAGAAAAACAGGATGCCAGCCCACTGCCCTTTGGGTCTGAGCGGAGACTGGGTGACGGTGGTCAGACTACCATCTTCTATGAAATGTGTACAAAAATCGACACACCTCTAATAAAACGCTAAATAGATTTAATTTCTTCGAGGACCTGAGATAAAAAAATATATAATTTTAGAATCGCTTAGGCGACATATATTTCTAGAAATGCCTAGGCTACTAACACTTTCTTACTTAAGTTGCACTTTCTGCTTTGAAATATATATGAAATGCAGTACACCTTTCCCTTAGGCCTAAAACATTTACTTGATGCCACTAGCCACATATAATAAAATGTAAAACTTCTCTCCTTATCTAATCAAGAAGACCAAAGGCCATTAGCAGCGCGCCAGGCTCTGAAAGCCTCCACGGTCAGGACATTGGCCTTATTATGTTTTCATAATTTGCATAATTTGCAAATAATTTGCAATCAGATGAGGCTGCTAATACACGTTTCTCAACGTTTCAGCTGAAAGTTGTTTTTCAATGGAAATGAAAGCAAACTTACAAGACAACTTCAGCCCGAACACAGAGAAACATTTAATGATGAGTTGCATTATACTTCTATATGGCTGCAGTTGGACCACCACCTTGTATGGTTAACATACCTGGCCAGTAAAGATTTTTCCAATCTGATTTTGCTTTATATAATTCCCCATGGAACCAACACATGGTGTTTCCACTGCTGGATTCACATGCCAAATATCCCCATGGACTTTTCTCCAAATGACACTGACAGCCACCCTCCACCCCCAACCCCCCAGAGGTGTATTTTTGCCCCACTCACCTACGCCGATGAAGTTCGCAGAGAGAAAGAAGGCATGGAAGAGGCTGACAGCAACAGAGTGGGAATCCTGGCTCTCTGTGGAGTCCTTGGCAGCCAAAGAGGGGTCTGGCTTTTTTGCAGACATAGCTCAGTCCCCACAGATCCAACAGCCCAGGGCTGGTATTGAAAAAGGTCCGGAAAGGTCTTTTCCCCAAATGTTGTATGGTTACCAACAGGAGAAGAGCAGAAGAAAATCCTAAGAAGCACTCCAGATTGAAGATAACAGCCTCAAAACACAAATCTGGCTTCACAAATTCAGGCTGAGCAGGCAGCCTTGGGAAAAATCCATCTGTGTTTGTACAAGCAGGTCCTGCCCGGGACCCCTTATCTCATCACCTTCAAGTGTGCACCGTGAGAACTAGAGAGACGGATGGCCGCAGATTCCCAAACGGTCCTGGCAGGTGAGGGCCATCGCTGCCAGTCTGGGCCTGAGGTGGGATCCCGGAGCTGCAGAGTGGCCGGCAGACAGCAGACGTCCCAAGCTTAAGGAGCGGAAATTAGAAGGCACGGCGCAGCGTAAGTGCCCCCATCTTCCTGAGCATGAGAAAGACCCTGTAATAAGCCGGGCTTCGCTAAACGAGCGCCTTAGCCCCGGGCCGGCTCTGTGGGAAGTCCGGAGCCAGGAGGGTGGGGGGGAGGGTCAGACCACGAGCAGCACCTGAAGGGGTGAGGAAAGAGGCAAGACGTTAGATTGCCTGTTCAGTCCATACATGAGTGAACATGCTGTCCGACAGAGCATTCCTCGGCTACGCTACCACTGCGAGCGTTAAAGAGGCAGCAGTTTGTTAGCAAACATATACCCGTTCTTTCCAAGTTCAAGTTTTATTTGTCACATACACAATCATACACTGTACTACTGTGTAGTGAAATGCTTTTCCACCTACTTCCTAGATTGTGCTTGAAGGAAATAATAGACACAATGAAAAACAAAATCAGCATACAAGAACAAATAAGAGGAAAAATAAGAATGAAATAGCACTAAAAATAAAATAAACTGTAAAGTAGACAATAAGTATATCAACAGTTTTAAAAGTCTTTGATTTAGTTTTTATTTTTTACTTTGTTTTCTTTTACTTCTTTCACTGTACTTCTTTTCAGTTTCCCAAACTGCCATCACAGTTGAGGTACAAGTCTTACACGACCTGCACTGCATTCCATCTCTACAGCTTCTTACACGACCTGCACTGCATGCCATCTCCACAGCTTCTTACACGACCTGCACTGCATGCCATCTCCACAGCTTCTTACACGACCTGCACTGCATACCATCTCCACAGCTTCTTTCCTATAGTGATCCAGCTCCTTAAAAAACTCACCCAAATTCCCAATAATCCTGTCACACAGGTGAAGTCCTTTCATCCAGGAACAATTCACCTCTTCCTGTGTCTGTTTGCTCCGTTGGTGAATGTGATCTACCGTGAACAATTGTTTTTGTTTCTGCACTACTTCCGGTCATCGGTTTGTTCTGCGCCTGTGTAACCTGCTCATTCTGTTTCCTTTGGACTTTGCAGTCATTTGCACATGATACTGTTTTGCAAACTTATCCATTTTAAGACGACTTTGCAGTGTGTTTCCTGTAAATTTCCAATTCCTGTTGTGTTCTTCAGTTCTGCGTTTTGTGTACAGTGAAGTGTTTCGGCTAAGTGGCCGTGAGATCATGCTGCACTTCAGGTTTGGCACCAAACAAACCGGCAATAAAGTCTTCTGAGTTCTGACAGGACAAACGAAAGCATATTGTTCACAACAATAGGTACTTTGCAAGTGAGTGAATACAAATACAAAGAACACGTTTCATATTCTTTCAGTTCAATTTTTTTTCAGCACAGAATGTCGTCAATAAACCCTGTTTCGGAATTAATTTTTATGTTGCTTCATATGCGTCGGTGGAAATCTTTTTATCACAACAGGATATTCATTTAGGGGACAACTCCTGGGGACCTGGAAAAAGGCATGATATATTTCTATAGTCATAAAAAGTTTAAAAACGAATGTAAATTATTACAGCCAGTGTTACACCCTGTGTTCCTGGCTGTGATTGCACTGGATATTCCCGCCCTTATTTGCCAACCATGTTTCTCCAGTTTCAACTCGCCATTAGGACTAACATACAGTAACCCCCCCCCCCCCCGCTCCCCCACTCCTGCAGTGTCCCCACCCAGACTTGCCCTTTTTCCACTATTTCTTCAACGGCTGAAATCACTGTCAATATCTACTGTACTGTCAGTGACGCAGAATCTGCTCAGATGACGCCATTCGGATGACATCACCCTCTCCTCCCCGCCACCTGTTATGTCTGACCTTGACTGTGCCGATAAGGGGTGCATTTCACACCCCAGCGATATGTTAAGAGTCTTGTTTGATTTTGTGTAAATACAGATACTTCATATGCCAAGTCTTTTCTCCACTGCACCAGCCCACTGGTATTAAGCCAGGGTGTTAAGCCAACTGTTACTATATCACAGAAAACTGGGTTTGTACATCTGAGTCAAAGTCACCAGGCCAGGGAGAAGGTTAGGCCTCCCTTTGGGACAGACAAAAATATCTGCTTAAAACAGACAAAACTACAAACTTTTCTTTTTTTTAAGGATTTCATTGTAGAGTCAATGTATTTATCAAGCATTTAATCAATTACAGACATTCCATCCTTGAAAAACTAATTTCACAGAGGCAGCATCCTCCTTGAAGAAAAATAGTGAGTCTATAATTGAATAATTGGACAGTTCTGGGGCTAACAGCAGCTGAGCAATCAAGCGGCACAGATGTGTAGCCTCTGCGTACGGCCCGTCCGCAGAAGGGCACCTTGCATACAAGGTTACTGCTGCACCAGGGACCGGCTCTGAGAACCCGGCCCACTTTTCACATCGGAAACTGGGGCAGTAGAGGACATGCCGTGGAAATCCGAACCAGTGCGGACGGGAAAGGTGCTGGATCGTGGCCATCTATCTCTCCCAGCGCCGAGTGCCGCGAGAGAGCCTGGCACGGCTTTCACACGGCGTGGGTGGGAAGGAACAGGACAATGGAGGATTATACGCTTCCTGTTACTCATGTCATGCCCCAAACTCATGCAGAAAAACCTAATCGTGTTCTTTCACAGCATTAGCTAATAGTTGAGATTATCCCTGTTTGAACGGCTTAATTATTATTAAGTTACTTCCACTACATTGTTTCTTTCTAAATTTCAGATGCAATTTCTTAAATTCAAAAATGTGTTTTTAAAGTCCTTTCTGCCTTTCAATCACATAAGGCAAAGCATCTTGACATTTGAACAGGGTTCTGGAATGCCAAGCACATGTGAAATTTTGAATGAATTCTAGATGTGACAGATACATGACAGTGCGGCACCTCCCCTTCCTGTTAGCTAACAAGGGGAGAAGGTTATTCAGACACTTTATTCTGCACTCTGTTTTGTTCTGGTACACAAGCACAAGTCCCTACAGTCCACAGGGTCTCGCCCCACATTCCACAGACTAGGCCGACCATACACAGGATGAATTACGTTGTAAATGAAAAATCTACCGATATGTGCATTTAAAAACAAACACACACTCAAACAGACATTAACAGCATGTGGAGCCAAAGGGAAACGTGCGAGAAATGAAGGCGAGAGATCGCTAGCTGACAAGGGGCTGGGGGACGTGCATCTGGAAGGGCACACGGGGCCGAGGCGTGTGTGAGCGCAGGCCCGGACGTGTCCGCCGTCGCCCACCTGAACTCCGGCGAGCCCGGGGGATTGTGCAATAGCGGGAAGCGGAAAAGTTGCCGCGTCCCACCCACGACGAGGCTTGTCCAGGATCCTGCTGGAGGGGCTATGCTGACGGATGGTTTTTAGATAACAGGCCACAGGCCAGCACTGTTTATCAGGCTGCTAAAACATTCAATTGTTCGGAAAAGGCGGAACAGGTGTTCAGACTGCTTTTGCGGCCATTTGTATACATCAACATGCCGACTCAGGACCCGGACCATGCCCGGGGGCTAACACCTGACAACCCCTCACAAGACCTGAGCCCAGAGACTGTCAGCAGACTGCCCCCAGACTGGGCGTGGCCCCTACTTACACCTCACCACCATGTACGTTTCTTTGATGCCTGCTGTTTTAATTAAGCAAGACAGGCTAGCACAAACAGGGATTGGTATGATTACATCTATTTGTGGTTTTAGCTGATGCTCCCTGAGAAAACGTTTACATGCTCTTTTTAGATAATAAAAAAAAAAAACTCATACATTCATCTGTGGCACTAAGCAGAACGGAGCACATTAGCTCAGTCAGTCAGGTGCAATCGTCTGGGGACCACCAGTGTAATTAATTAATCAAAGTGAAATCCTTACTAGCTGTGTTAGGGCACAAAAGTTCATGAAAAATGTCAACATCTTTTCCCTAGTGCAAAAACCCCAATTTTCACAAATATTGATAAAATGTCAGGGTATTTAAGATCCATTTATGAGAATTAAGTCATATTAATATTAAGATCTTATATTGAATGACATTTACAGTGGATAGCAGGATGGCAGGAAAGCCTTCTTTAAGCCTAGTTCATACTTCACTTTTCCACATGCGCTTTTGCGTGCTCTCGGGCTGGGGGCGGTCGTCCCTGTGGCAGATTGTATTCATATGGCATTTGGCTACGGATGCAGATGGTCGCCGTCGGTGCATCCATACAGCGGTGATATTCCACCAGACCAGCAGAGGGCAGATGTACAAATACAAATATAAACTTTGCAGGGCAAGACACACGTCACTGGGAGAATCCACTGAAAGAAAAGACTACCTTAATTTGAAATAAACCATGTAAACTATGACACTTCTAATTCACCAATCAAAATTGCAAGACTGCTGACAAGGTGACACACCGATGACCAGAAATGTGGGTTGTCCATTTCGTGCAAAAACCTACAGAAACATAACAACATTCCTCAGGTATTATAGAATATAATAAAATGAATGATGTGAGATTTACTTATAAATGACAAGATCATGGCAAATACATAATCAGTGGCTCATTCTGCTCTGATTGTTCTCATTCTCCAAACCATGAAAGGAAAAACCTGATTATGCACAAGCTGCAACACTGGGAAGCAGGGCTTTAAAACACACCCAATTCCACGCTTCACATTTACTTGGCACCACCTCCCAACCCCCGCAAACATCACAGCTGCTTTTCATGTGGCAGGAACAGGGAGCTCTTGTGTAGATAAGACTGCTCTCCATTACAAGATCACACATCATGTCCTTTGCAAAGGATTATCTGCGTTTTTGTGCCATCAAGGAGACGGATTTTTAAGTCGCGCTGATGACAGATGTAATCTGCAGAAGAGACCGGCAGATACAATCTCAGATAGAACAGATATGGTCTTAAATTGCCCAAATTATATAAAGGGCCTGAGATGTCGTTCGGATATTTGGTTCCAGTCTGGCTTCTTTTCAGCCAGAGAGAATGCTTGCAACGTTTCTCTCCATTGAAGGTTAAATGTTTAATATAACTTCATTCATATTTCCAAACATTGCCAATAAGACAGGACATTATTTTCCAGTTTCAGAAAGAGACAATTGCAAATACTTACATGCCCATTGGGGAGCTGTTTCAGACATTACAAAAACCATTCTTCTAGTCTGTCCCTAAAGCAAAGTCAGAGTAGACCTGACAGTGCATCCAATCAAGG